GGAGGGGTATTGGGGTCTTGGGTGGGGTGTGGGGGTCCCAGGCAGGGTGTGGGGAACGCAGACACGGTGGCTCCGCAGTTTGCTGGGATTTATTCCTGTTTTGGGAGCCCACCTTATCCCCCGGCTCGTCTGGGCCTGTGGCAGTGATGTCCGGGCTTGGGCAGTTGTAGCCCGCTTGCCATCAGGCTCCACAGCCGCAGTCTCAAATATTGGGGCGGAAAGGGATTTTTGGGATTTCGCCAGCCCTGCTTGGGTGCCGCTGGTGTCGGCAGCGATAAGTGTTGCTTATTGTTTGTGGCCGCTGCAGGACGGAGCCTCTGCTCGCCTGCCGCTGCTGTAGGGAGTTTTCTTTTCCCCTCCGTCCCACAAAGGGCACTTCAGCAAAGAGGGAGGACTGAGGAATGGTGTCAGGAGAAAGAAACAGTGGTAAAAGAGATGCGTGAACATGTCGTTGTGTTTTTGGAAAGGCTAGGAAGCTGTACTTCGCTACCTTTGAAGACTTAGTAATTTTTTTTTTTTAACGTAGGCTCTTGCATGCTGTTTATCTGTTGTCCTACTTCTAGGGAGGCTGGGTAAATTTTGCATTTGACAGATAAGTTCATTGAGTTGTCTTGGATATCTGAAGCCTACAGTTTTGTCAGTGTTATTGGGAATGTGAGGAGGGGAGGTCTGCACCGGGGCGACCTTCACCCGCAAGGCGGGTGTCCCCGTCAGCTCTCTGAGCTGGGTCACTGCTCTGCGTTGGGGAAGAGGCATCCAAGGGGTCTGGAATACTTGGGAAGAGAAAAGCTGAAGCATATATGTCTGCCTGTGCGTGCTGTGGGAGGGACGGGAGGCTATCTTTTGTGTTTCCCCACGTATATAAATATGAAATAGTTCTTGTGAGGGGCTGGATAAACAGTCTAACCTCTTAGATCAACGCTGCCTGCTCAGCAATTTAATAGGAAAGTAACAAAAATGTTATCAGCAGACTATAGGTTTTGAAAAATAAAAGGATTTAAAAATCATTGTTTCCCATTGTTAGCATTTCAGTTTCTTTGAGAATGAATCTGGAGGTAGAGGAAAAGTTCCATTCTCTGTGTCTGTATGGATTCTTTGCCTTGTTTCACTTTAATTTTTGTGGATTTCTGCCATTCAAAAATACTGTGACAGTCTATGTTGTGTTGATAGAGTTGTACTGATTGGGAATTAAGGGGTTTGAAAATCCACTTGTAGACAGGAAAATGTTATGTGTAGTTTGGAGCTTTTATAGTGAAGTATGAATAGAGAAAAGGAGTTGCTTCTCCCCATGCTCCTGCATTTTGACTGAAGCTGTTGGTTTGGTTTTTTTGAAGCTCCATATTTAAAATACTTATCTGATAGGAATTGACAGATTTATATTACTACTTTAAGAGTTGTGTTTAGGGTAATTGCTTTATCTTCCTTATACTTATTTTATTTTGTGCAGCATATCACATATATTACACTTTCTTACTCTGTTACCCAAAGTATGATGGCTAGTTGCATGAACCTAGGTGGAAAAGTGCTTCTGCTGTTGAGAACAACAGAAATGCCTGCAGGTGTGTTAAAACTATTGTGGAAATAACAAGGAGTAAGAAACTATATTAAAATAGCATGCTTAATAGAGGTCAACAAATCTATATATTTTAAATATCTGGGGTCATAAAGGTTTCTATTGTCTAGAAAGTGCATTTGGTCATTTTAGAGCATACAGTCAGCTATAGTTTAGCTATAAATGTTCTTTTAGCCCCCAAGTAGTATATTGGTCCTTACAGACTGCTTAATTTATCATGCCCATCTTTTTTTTTTTAAAAAGGGAATCTGTTCTAATTTTGTCTGTTTATTCTTAATTCTTCTGTCAGTGTTGCTATTTTGAGATAACTGGAAGTAAATTTTTTTTTTTTTAAAAGAAAGTTACTTCTGACTTTGCTTCTATCACTATATGGTTACCAAGTTCAATGGTTTTCTGTAGTGCTTCAGTTAATCTCACAAATGACTCTGCCTTAACTTGCTTTCTCGGCGATGAGAATCAGCTGCTTTAACTAGACGCGGGCATTTCTTTTGCATCTCCGAAAAGTAGTTTAGAAATAAAGTTCCTGTTGCTTGAGTAAAGAAGTTGATGGGGTTTATGTACGTGCATGTGTGGCTGATGTTGGCAATTGCACAGCTGAATCTTGGAGCGAGGTACGTGATGAATCCGAGCCGCACGTACAGAGTACTGTGCTGCAGGAGCTTGCTTTGTTACTTTTAACTAGCTCTTCTTCCAGTGCCCTCTAATTAGCTGCAGGTTTTTTTGTTGATTGTTTGGGTTTTTTTTTCAACAGAGACTTATAAATAAATCAGGAGCTCTGTAGAAAGGGATAAATATTTTATAGTCTGGCTTTTATTTGCTTCCAACAAGCAGTGGTACCTTGCTATGCTTCTTCAGTTTACATTATGTTTGCTGATTTGGAAGAATTCTTGTTGACTGGATTCCCCAACAAGGAGGGAAAACATGAAGCTACAAACATTTTTCCATACTTGTGACCTTTTCAAAAATAACTTTTAATATTTCATCATTCTGACAAAACTAAGAATGGTGTATTTTTATGGTAGAAGTTCTACACATCTGAAATTACACACGTTTTAAGGGGGTATATTGCTGAGGAGCACTCTGTACTGACAGCCTCGCAGCCAAAACAGCTATTTCCGTAGGTGAAACCAAATGCAGCCAAAATCCAGTTAATTCACTGGGCTTCAGCCCCTGAGTGGAGAAAACAGCTTTTCTGACCAGCACCGGAGTTCAGTCGTGGGTCCCTCTGTGATTTTCAGTCAGCTGTTTGTCTTCGTGATGTTAATATTTGTCTGCTAAGAAGTGGATTAAAAATGACCGGATTGCACACCAGTCAGTTGAATAGACCCTGGTCGCAGTGTGAACTGAACCCAACCCAGAGAAG